CAGCACTTTGCCCCATGGGGATGGGCGGCTAGGTGACCTTGGGCAGACTGTTCTCTCTCTGTGTCTGCAGCTCTGGAGAGTTCTACAAGGTCTCTGTGATCACCATGATTTTGAAACCCTCTTCTAGTCATTTTGTGGGTGGGGTCATCCTAGGAGGGGCCAGGAGTGAGATTTGGGCTCTCTCTCAGACTCTCATATCAGGAAACACTCCAAATGAGAGTTCTCAGACCAGAGATACAAAGATATGTCATGCACTTGAAAACACTGCGTGGGGCTCTCATCTGGAATCCTGGCACTTCAGAGTCATCAGTTCAAGACCAGATCCTGTCTCAAACAACAGCAACATGGGAGTTTAGAAACAAAATTAACTACCGCAACAGATTAGTTCTCATGAGTTTGGAGGTGTGCACACTAGGGCAGGCCTTGTGGAGAAACCTTCCCTCTCAAGAACACTGGTTCACTGTGGTCTGTGGGTAAGACCCATGTGGAGTAGAGATCGTCTTTACGTGTTCTCCTTGAGGCTGTGCTGTAGCTACTTCCTCTCAGAGCCAGAAAGCTTTTCCCAGGCTGCTTTCACTCCCTCACAAATCAGATCCTAAAGGGTCAATCCTGACCAACCGGGAACACCACAGCAGTTCACCCTATGGAGTTATTCCAGAGCCTGCTTGCATGCACATTGACCAGCAGGTGGCAGCACAGGAGCACACAAGCGTAGAGTTGAAGAATAAACAGCGCAATGGTCTGGTTGTTCTGGTAACCCACAGCAATGCCTCCTCCTGGTAGCAACACCCCAGACCATCCACACACTGCCTCCAGGGAAGAGGATACTGTCTTGGAAACCTGCTAATCTGGATGGTGTATGACACACCACCTGCCATTCTGAGCTTTTCCAAGCATGCAGCAAGTATTAGATGTGTGTCTGCATGTGTTAAACTGAAGCAAAGCGGTAGGTATTATCAGTCCACTTTACAGAGAAGAAAGCAGGTTCAGAGGGAAGGCCCCACTTGTCCAAAGTCTCATGATAAACAAAAGTGATGCTGGCTTTAAGATCAGGTTGGGGAGACAGGTTCAACTGTGCCCCCCCCTTTCTCCCTAGCTAGGGAGGTGCCTGAGGTACCACACCTCGTCAAGTGAAAAACTTCTCATTGAGAATGCGGGGCTGGTGGTGTGAATGTCTGTTGGGGGAAATGAGGTAAGGGAGAAATGGACCCAGAGTTTTCCTGGAGTGGGAGAGGCATATGTTTCCAAAGGAGGAGGAGGTTGTAGATGTAACAGTCTTATTAAATAAGAAACACAGAGCCAAATGCAGAGTTAAAAGCCCAAGAGGTCAGAGCAAAAACTAAGAGCTGAGACTAAAACCGCCTTATCACCCGCTGCCGCTGCCGTCCTTCCCCTCAGAAAGAGACCTACTTCCTGTGTGTCTGTCTTTTTATTGACTTTCTGTTCTGCCTTCTCATTGGTTGTAAACCTAACTACATGATCTTCTCATCACTGTCTGTCTATACAGACCTCCAGGTCTCTATGGTTGGTATTGAGATTAAAGGCATGTGTCTCCAAGATGGCTATGTCCTTGAACACACAGACTCTGCCTGCCATGTGATTGGATTAAAGGTGTGTGCCACCACCACCTGGCTCCTGCTATGGCTTGCTATTAGCTCTGACCCCCAGGCAACTTTTTATTAACATACAAATAAAATCACATTTCAGCACAAATAAAATATCACCATAGGGGGTTGAGGACAGGAGTTGATTCCACATGTTGGACTGGGAGGTAGGAACCTGGAGCTGAGCCCTTTTTCTGCTGTGACTACGGGTAGGCCCTGGCTTTTTCTGAGCTTTCCTTTCCTCACATGAACCAGATCTTTCCACAGGTCCTTGCTGGCTCTCTGCTGGGGAATCCAGAAATCTATCACCAAACACATTAAGAAGATCAAGTCTAAGACCTATGGAGTGCTGATTGGGATTAAATGAAGCCCCAGCGGGGAGCAGATGCAGCCTCTGTGCAGAAACGGGCCACCTGGAGTCTTAGTCTTGCCCTGGATCCTCCAGTTCTACAGGAGACTCTCAAGGAAGCAGAGGTTTAGTGGGCCTGGGAGCCCATATCCAAGGAAGTGGGAGGGGCTTCATCTGGGGAATCCATCACCCAGACCTGTCCCCAAGCTGAGCAAGTGTCTGAGTAAAAGCCACTATTGGAACCATGAAAAGTACAAGTGGCTAAGCCCCTGTGCCACTCTTGCCTGGCCGTCAGCTTGATTTCCATGTGCCAGGGATTGGTGTCTCCTACGTGCTCAGACAAACATCTTCAGAGCCTCCAACTGTGCATGAACTAGGAAAAGCCTAGTGGGGAAGGGTTGACTCTGAGGGGAACAGGTTAGAGCCTATGTGTGTATGTGTGTGGTCAGGTGTACACTAGGGAATGTGTGCTTGCTACAGGTGTGTGTGTGTGTGTGCGTGTGTGTGTGTGTGTGTGTGTGTGTGTGTGTGTGTGTGTATGTCTCTGTGTATGTGTGTGTGTATCTGTACAAGTACCTATAATGTAGCATGAATGGATGCTGTGTGTCTGTACAAGCCCATAGTGTAGTACACATTTCTGCTCGTGTGTGGGTACACATGTGCAGCACCCTGTACCTTTGTCTTTCCAGGTGGACTCTGCCAGCTCTCGGCTGCTCTGGAAGGGTATGGCTTGGTCCAGCTACTGAGGACAAGCCCTAGAAAGCAGACTTGCAAAGTGAGGTGGGGCAGGTACACAGGAGGAGGCCTCTGGGTAGGAGGGGCAGAGGCACTCAAGAGTGGCAACCGCAACACCGAGGTTTCTGACTGTGCCAGGCACAGGGTTCCGATCACTCCCAGATGGTAACGCTGAACGCAAATGCCAGGCCAGCTAGTGTTACTTTGTCCTGTCAGTGGGTAAAAATATTTTATGTCCCCATAGTCCCAGCTGGCCAAGGGGAGCATTCCTCTACCCCACAATTGATTTGACAACTGCTTTCTTGAGCACCTGTCATGTATCAGGCTCAATACACGATGAACAGATAAAATTAGCCTTTGCCTTGGTGTCAGAATGTTCTAGAGTATAGGGCATGGGTAAAGCTGATTGGTGGGTTGGTGAATCTGACTCAATTCCTCCTGCCCAAGGATTGGCCAGTAAAGCTGAGTGGAGCCTGAGCCTCTGGGGATGGACTTCTGTGTCTAGGGCCCTGCCTGGGGCATGAAATCTATGAGGAGCTGGCTGGAAGTATATGCCAAGGCTGGTTGGGGGCTGCCCTGGGTTCTGTACCTTGAGCTTTCATCAATGTCCTCCCACCTGCTAGCCCAGATGCACGGAGGGACCAGGGCCCAATTCTGAAGAAGCTCAGCCTTAGGCAGAGGCGGAACCCTTCAAATCCATAGATACCTAGTCCCACTCAAGTTCACTCGGTCAGAATCTGGGGCCCAGGAACTCTTCAAATGTATCCCCAACTGAGTACCTGATATGCAGCTGAGTTTGTGTGTCTGTGTTTAAACACCCCAGGCTGCATCATCTACTTGGAGTTGTTGCCTAGACCTGGTTGCAGTAGGCAGAACTGCTGTGGTATATTCTTGATAGGAAGAAAAAAAAAAAGGCCCTGGGCCTCTCCTGGCCCTTCCCAGCCCTCTGGGACACAGCAGCTCAGCAGGTGCAGGCAGGGAATCTAGATCATTCTGCAGGTCACACTCAGGCTCTGGTTCCTTTGCCTTAGCTTGGGATCCCAGGAATGGGGCTCAGGAGAGTCCTAGGAGGAGAGGCCTGGCCTTTGGGGAGACACCTGGGAGTGAGGGCAGGGAGCAGGGTTGGGGGTGGGGGAAGAGCCAGTCCATAGTGAGTTCTGGAGCTTGGGTTATTCACACAAAAGCTTCCCCAAGGCATCCTGGGGGTGGGGTGGGGTGGGGTGGGGTGGGGAGAGAGGGCTGCGCCCAGGGGAGCTGGATTTTCATAGACAGGAATGATTTTCCAGTGAGGAGCTGAGATCTGGCTGCACTGGGGTGCACTGGGATACTGGGTTAACTCCAGCACAGGCCTGTTCTCTGAATCTCTGTGGCCATTTTGATGTCCCAGCAGCACAAACTAAGCAAATTCAGATCTATGAACTGCTCCTGCTCACCTGGACTCTGGTCAACAAGGACGGCTAGTTGCCCTGTCCTGACCCACCCCGAGGCTCTGCTCCTTGAAGGCCTGTGTCCACCCCAACACTGTCACACCTGTTGTGGCTGGCATCTTCACAGCTTCCCGCTGCACATGCCCGGGAGAGGAAGCTTCCTGCCTGCCTCCCACTCAGGACTGAGGGGGCTGAGGTCTGAACTCTGTCCAGCCCTTCCCTTCAGGCCTGGCAGGGGTGCAGCCTGCCCCATGGGTCCAGTGACGCAGGCCAGCAGTGGGGAGGCTGCCTGGGCTGGGGATGAGCCAGGACCTATGGCGGCCCCTCTGGCCAGGCCAGATGGCCACTGGCCGCAGTGGGAGTGTCTGCCAATGCCTCAGGTCGGAGTCCTGGCTTGAGGGCTTCACCCGATCCTTCCAGCTGAGTCTGAAGCCACTGTTTGCTGTGAAGTGTTTGTTCCCTGAAAGTGGGGCTCTGAGATGCCTGTCCACTCTGACCAAACTCCAAGGAAGAGGCCTAGACAGTGGTGTCTTCCTTCATGGAAGCACGTTGTCCTCTACAGTTTAAATGAGAGCAATGCCTAATCCTTCCTTCCTTCTTCCTTCCCTTCCTCCCTCCCTCCCTCCCTCCTTCCCTCCCTTCCTTCCTTCCTTCCTTCCTTCCTTCCTTCCTTCCTTCTTCCTTCCCTTCCTCCTTCCCTTCCTCCCTCCTTCCCTCCCTCCCTCCCTCCCTTCCTTCCTTCCTTCCTTCCTTCCTTCCTTCCTCCCTCCCTCCCTCCCTCCCTCCCTTCCTTCCTTCCTTCCTTCCTTCCTTCCTTCCTTCCTTCCTTCCCTCATCTAGCAAACAGAAACTAAATACCTACGACATGTCAGGCTCTGTCCTTGGCTCAGAAATATACCTATGAACAAAGAGGACAGAGTCCTCGCCCTCACAAAGCTGAACTCTACTCCAAAGGACAAGAAAACCAGAGTTATGGGTACACTGATATGAACAAGGTCAGAGCACTTCATGAAAGAAGGAAGGAAGGAAGCCTGCAGCTCTTCCTCCCTGCTTCGTGCTGGCCACCAGACAGACACCGTTCCAAACCTATTGACAGTCCCGCAATAGAGCATATTGCTCATCCCATGCTACAGATAAGCAAGCTGAGCATGGAGAGGGTCAGTCTCCCCTAAGTGACATACTCTAAGTCAGTGTGGAGCTGAGATCTCCAGCTCTACGACTAACAGCCTTGCAGCACTGCCCCTTGGGACATGACCCCCTCCCCCCACCCCCCAACAGGGCCTCTTTCAGAAGGTCTTCTCTCATTCTACGGTCTAGCTGCTCTGATCAAGCAGCTTTTAAACACACCACATGGTCTAAAACCTTGTGGAGTCCTACGGAGATCATCTTGTCAATGCCCCTGCTTCAGAGGATACAGTACTATAAGCCACATTTTGCAGATGGGACCTCTGAGTTCTGCAGAACCCTGTCATTACTCAGAGCCAGTGGCAACTGGCCCGTGGTCTGTAAAGCTTTTCATCTCAGCCCCGGCTCCCTGCACTCCTGGCTTTAAGTTATTACCTGCCCTACACTCCTATTCTTCTTCTGGATGTCAGGGTCCTCCTCCTATGCCTGCTACCTCAGGAGACACACAGCAGGGGCATTTCAATGTCTCAGGGATGGGGCTGAGTGTTGATGTCTGGGCCTTGAGCTGAGGGGTTCAGCAAACCCATGTGAGCTGAGTTTGGAAGGAAGCCTCCCGATTTCCTAGGGTTGGGGTCTTTCTGTGACAGGAAAGGCATCCAGTTAGTGGGAACAGCAAGTGCAAATTGAGATGAGGAGAATGTGAAGGGATCAGGAAGTCATAATGGGGTGTTGACATTAGAGGTGGAGAAAATGGGATGGGTAGCTATGTGCCAGATTAAGGGGTTGGGGGTTTTGGCTCAAGGAGCCAGGCAGGCAAAGAAAGGGCAAGTAGCTGCCCAGGGAACTCTGGGGGTGGGGGAGGCAAATCTTGAGTGGACCTGTGCAAGTCACATGACCTCCCTGAGCCCCAGTTTCCCCCTCTGCACAATTTGGAGGTGCCACCAGCCCACAGGGACCTTCCCAACTTTGCATAGACTTAGTCTGTGCTACTGTTATCTTACAGTCCTAATAAGCAAAGAGACTCCAGAGGAAGATAGGGAGTTTCTCTAATGCCCGATCTCCTATCCTGTCTGGCTTTGCTGTTCAGTGTTCTGGAAGTCCTTTGAGAGGTCCAGGTCCCAGGGAGCTCTGTTCATAGGGGAGCTTGGGTTGATGGGCACTTCTTCACTTTCAAGCCCTTTCTCCTATGCAGCCCCATCCAGGGCAGGCTGGCATCGTGGACCTGAGCCTGGGTGTGGATGCGACCCAGCTCTGAGGGGGGTGGCATTGGTGGGATCAGTGGTATCAACATGGCCAGAGGCATCAGCTCCTCCACGGCCATGGGGGAGCCAGGGGATGGCTCCCCAGGATCCAAGTTGGCATCACTCCAGCCTTCGGAGCTCTCACTGTGGCCCTCTGGACTTGTGGCTTCGTCCTCAGAGAGGGTGACCATCTCTGACATGTCATCCCCAAGGTTGCTGTCTAAGTCCCTTGACTCTTGGTCGGCGGCCTCCTCAAACCCGTTGGTTCTATGGGAATCTGTCACACCCTCCAGCTTCAGCTTGGAGCTTACCGCAGAAGCAATGGAGGGCTTTGCCACAGGCCCAGCAGGGATCTTGGCTCTGCCCTGGCCAGTCCAGAAAAGGGTAAGCTCTTGGCGACAGGCGGCCACGGCAAGGCTGGTAAGCAGGGTGCTAGACACTAAGTACAGCAGAGCAGGCTGGCCCATCTCCATGAGGACCATGGCAACGAAGGTGACCAGCAGGCCTATGGCATAGGCCATTGTACAGGCCATATAGTAGACCTGGCGAGAGTGGATTTGCACATCAAAGCGGTGACAGTAGGCCACCAGGAAACCGGGGACGACGATGTCACCAAAGCCAAGGATGGAGAAAGGCTGGTCACACAATGTCAAAGCTGAGAAGCTCAGTCGGGGCACTTTGAGCACCATGGGCAGCCTCTCATGGCTTGAAGAATCTGCTGGGCCTGACGCCACTTCCACCATGATGCTCTCGCCAGTCTTGGTGAAGAGGGGTGTGACGAAGACAAAGAAGACATCGAAGGCCAGCAGGGCCAGCAGGAAGGAGGTGCAGTTCTTGAGCGTGGGCAGCCGCACCCGCCTCAGCACAAAAAGGCAGTAGGCAACACCCAAGGTGTCCTGCAGGAGCCATGCCCAACGGTCCTCGTTGCGGTAGATGACCCAGAGAAGAGTCACCATGGCACATAGGCCTGCCAGCAGTAGTAATGGCAGCTTCATATAAGCCCGGCGGTCAGGCAGTGCCCATTGGTTTTGCCATGGGGGCAGGTGGTGCACTATGGGTGCCAGGCAGCTGTAGAGGCCAGTACTGGCACCCAGACCAAAGATCCCGATCATGACGTAGACAAAGCAGTCATAGAAGAAGTAAAGCAGAATCATGATGGAGCAGGACATGGTGACCACAGCGCCCGTCATGGCTGGTGTAAAATCCACAGACGTATCATCATCGTCTTCATCTTCCCGGGCCCTCTGGAACCTCTCAGCTACCCCCGCTTGAGGCTGATTGTGACCACCAAACCCCCCTCCTCCTTGGGCCTGGTGCCTCTGCAGCTGGTCTGACTCCATCAGGCCAGCCCAGTAGCCACCTGCAGCAACAGTGCCCACAGCCAGTATGAAGATAACTGCCATGTTATAGTCGATGATGGGCTCTAGGGGAGCATACATGGCTACACGGATATTGGTGTCACCGTGAGTGTGTCTGAGGATGTCCAACAGGTCGGTATAGCGGAGCACAGCCACCGGGATGGTGAGGGCAGGCCGGGGTTTGCTGGGGTCCTGGGGCTTGGAGATGGTGTCTGAACACTGTTGATTGCTGGCCCGGCTCACAATGAGCAGCCCATGGGCACCTTGGCCCTGAGCCAGCCAGCCCTTGGTGTAGAAGCTGCAGTTACCACGCATCACCATGGTAGTAGTCTGGTGGAGGGGTTGCTGTCTAGGGGAGCTGTCCTGGGCCTGGTGGAAGGAGTCCTCATCCGGACACCATGGTGTCTTGGTGCCATCATGCAGAGGCAGGAGTGGGGCATGGTGCAGGTCCCGGGGGAGAGTGACGTAGTCGGAGCTGTACAAGACACAATAGTCCTTGCTCCAATTCTTTGACACGATGCGGACCACGCCGTATTCTCCCCGGGCCTCAGGGCTGAGGAGGAGGAGGAGGAGTGAGCCCACGGGGAGGAGGGAACCCAGGCACAACATCCTCCTCAGCCACCTACCGTGTCCTCCCAAGGAGACAGCTGCCCACAGCTCTATTCCCCTCCCAGGGGAAGGGTGTGGCTCTTTGTCACAGAGTAGCTTGGCCACTTGTCTTGGAAACCAGAGCCACACCTACCTTGTCATAAAGTGATGAAAAGCATTGCTATGGGACACAGGCTCCTCTCAGGGCCATGTTCCCAACCCTGGATCCTGTAGGGAGGTCATCTGAGAGCTCATCCCTGCCCAGGTGCCCAGTAGGACTAAACCAGGTAAGTTGAAGTAAGTGTGAGGTGTCAGGGTTCGAGAGCCCAGGTAGGATTCTGGAAACAGTTTTTCATCTTTCCTCTTGGATAGCCTAAGCAGTCCAGGCCAACTCTCCTCTTTGGTCTGGTTTCTGTGTGTGTGTGTGTGTGTGTGTGTGTGTGTGTGTGTGTGTGTTGGCTAGTGTTTTTTTGTTTTGTTTTGTTTTGTTTTTGTCAGCTTAAAACAAGCTAGAGTTATCTGGAAAGAAGAACCTATGTTGAGAAAAGACCTCCAATATATTGTCTTGTAGGTAAGTCTGTAGGGACATTTTCTCTCTTCTTTTCATTTATTTTGTTTTGAGACAGGGTTTCTCTGTGTAGCTCTGGCTGTTCTGGAACTCACTCTGTAGACCAGGCTGGACTCAAACTCACAGAGATCTTCCTGCCATTGCTGAAATTTTCTTGATTAATGACTAATGCAGGAGGGCCCAGCCCATTGTGGGTGGCGCTACCCCTAGGGTGGTGGTCCTGAGTGGTGTAAGAAAGCAGGCCGAGCACACTGTAAGGAGTAAGCCAGTAAGCAGCACCCCTTCACGGCCTCTGCTTCGGCTTCTGTCTTTGAGTTCCTGCCTTGGCTTGCTCTGCTGATGGCCTGTAACCTGTAAGCCAAATAAAGTCTTACTGCCCTAAGTTGTTCTCAGTCATGGTGGGTTTTTGTTTTTGTTGTTGTTGTTGTTGTTGTTTTTTCCAGACAGGGTTCCTTTGTGTAGCTTTGGAGCCTGTCCTGGATCTCACTCTGTAGCCCAGGCTGGCCTCAAACTCACAGAGATCCACCTGCCTCTGCCTCCCGAGTGCTGGGATTACAGGCGTGTGCCACCACCGCCTGGGTCAGTCATGGTGTTTTGTTACAGCAGTATAAAGTGAACCAGGACGGTGTGTACATGTGTACATATACATATGTGTGTACGTGTGCATGTGGGTGCATATACCTATACACATCCAGAGGCCAGAGGAGAACTCTGGGTACCGATTCCTCATCATCCTATCACTCTTTGTCATATTCCCTTAAGACAGGTTTCCTCCCCGAACTTGGAGCTAAGCCGGCAGCTAGCAAGCCCCAGTGATTCTATTTCTCTGTCCCACAGGGCTGAGGTGGCAGGTATGTGTGGCCACACCCCATTTTTTAAAAATCTGGCCGTTGGAAATACAAACTTAGGTCCTCATGATTTCTCAGCTAGCGCTCTTACCCAGTGAGCCCTCTCTCCAGTCCCTGGACTCATTTCATTGACTGCGAAGTAATGAGGACGTTACACCAGGGTCTAGGCTCCAGCGCACCGAGCTCCATGGCGAGCACATGTTAAGGGGTGAGGTGTTTTTATGTACTCATTGCAACTATACAATACCCCCGCTAGCTGGAGGCTGTACACTGTCCTTCTAAATTAATCCCCCGGTCCAGAGCTCATCACCAGCCTCCCTCACAGAACCTAGGATGAAATAGGGTGGAGCTTTTTGCTCACTCTTTTACTTTCTTGCAACTCCGGACAAGGACAGGACTGTGATGAGGAAAATGCCTGAAGGAATGGGGGCAAAGCGAAGAGAGTGGGGGTCCCTGGGCAACTGCACGGAGCAGTTATCTGGGGTGCTCACTGCTGCTAGAGAGATATGTGATCTTCCACAAAAAGCTATCTGCTTGTCATGGACGTCTTTGTTATAGTAACTTAGCCTTACCCGATACTCCCATATCATAGAGTAGAATAGGCTCCGAGTAGTCCAAGTGGACCTGTCTACAAGGCTCTTGTACTAGTTAAATCTTTGGACTTCGATGTCGCATAAACCTTTGAGGTGAATTCTAGGCTGGTCTCCCTGCTGATCTTCTGAGGCTGAGCTGGGAGCTGAGTTTGGAATCAAGAACCCACCCTTGGTACTGGCAGGTTTCTACCCCGGCTCTGGTGTTCTCTCATACTCACCCACATTATCCTGTCCAGTCTCCTTCAAGCCACCCACAAGTGGGGTACCCTGGGGCCCCTGAAACCAAAAGCGGGGATATGGGGCGTGGCCATCCTCCTGTGTTTCCATGATTTTTCTGCTGGCCTGTAGCCATCCTCTGCTCCTCATTGGCAGGCACTCAAACCTTTTTGCCTGTGATACTGTGACACTTCACTGCTGGAGATGAGGGCTGCCATCAGTCACCAGCATAGCCTCTTGGTACAGGAGCAGAGACTCGGTTTCAGGATGAGGTCCTCACGGTGGGAACTGGTCCAGGTCTCCAGGGCGTGTGGAGGTGGTGCAGGTAAAGCAGGGAATCTCAGTATGGGTTTATGCCCTAACTCTGTGCTCTCTCTGGGTCAACCCCGAGCACAGCCCACCAGCTCCAACTTGAAGCCTCTTAGCTCTGCTAACTAGTTTATCCAACCCCCTTCTTTCTTTGTGCTGGGGATTGAACCTAGGACCATGTGCATACTAGGCAAGCACTCTGTCACTGAGCCATATATCCTCAGCCCCACGGACCTGCCCTCTGCCCTGAGTCTCCTGGCAGTATGAATTATGCCGCTTGCTGCTTGACCATGGCATCTGGGCCTTGGCTCCAATATCATCTCCATCACCATCCCCAGGAAAACAAAAACAACAACCCAGCCCCCTTCTCAGAATGCCACCATCACAATGCAGATTTTAGTTAATGCATTGCACTTAACGTATACACACCTGTCTGGTATGTTCTAGCTCCTACTGAAGACACACGAGGTCTGTGAAGGCAGAGACCATCTGCCCTGCTTAGTATTCTAAGATCTGTGAACAGAAAACAATGCTCAGGAAATGTGTGTGGGATGGGAGAGTGAGTGACTGGATTCACAGCCACAGGATTGATGTTCAGGGCAGTTAGGGAACTTTTCCAAGGTCCTACTTGAGTTTAGGAACCAGATTTAGGCTGCTAAGCGGCAGAGTCTCTGGTTGGCCCATTATCACCGCATAGAGTATCCGTTATCATTGCACATAGCATGTTACCATTGCATCTAGCGTTTGCTCGGGGACTGTGGAGACGGTGATGCTGAGGACTGGGTGGGAGACAGATTCACTGACAAAGTCAATTGAAGTGGGAAGTCCTTAAAAAACATTCTGTACCCTAGGACTGGGGAGATGGCTGAGTGGATAAGAGTGCTTGCTCTGTAATCATGAGGACCTGAGTTTGGATCCCAGCACCCACATAAAGAACCAGGCGTGGCTGCATGTGCCTGTAACCGCAGCATTAGAGGTGGAGATAAGCCAGAAGCTCCCTAGGCAGCTTCAGGTCCAGTGAGAGACTCTCTCAAGAGACCTGGCTAGGGTGTGATCGAGAGAAATAACTGCTGTGTCCTGCTCTGGTCTCCACGTGTGTCTCCATGGGCACACATCTCCACCATTGCTATGATGGTGGTTTGGATGAGAATGGTCCCTCACAGGCTCATGTATTTGAACATTTGGTCCCCAGTTGGTGGAACTGTTTGGGAAGGATTAGGAGGTGTGAACTTGTTGGAAAGGGTGTGTCACTGTGGGCAGGATTTGAGGTTTCAAAACACTAGTACCATGCCCAGTGTGCCCACTGCCTAGTGGTTGTGGGCCAACTTGTGAGCTCTCAGCTGCTCCTTCTCTCTGCTGTCAGGGACTCTCTCCCTGAAACCACAGACCAAACGAAATTCTTCCTTCTCTAAGTATCTTTGGTCATGGTGTTTGGTCACAGGAATAGAAAAGTAAGAAAACTACATACATACATCCGTACAACACACCACACACACACACACACACACACACACACACACACACACACACACACACACACACAGGGCAGTGTTTCCTATTGCCCCTATTCATTGCATTAATTGCTTAGACTTCCCTAAATAATGATATGAACCATGTGGCTTAAAATAGCAGAAACGGGCCAGCGAGTTGGCTCAGCAGGTAGGAGGAGTGCTCACTGCCAAGCCTGACTACCTGAATTCAATCCAGAACCCACATAGTGTCAGGAAAAGAACCAGTTCTTGAAAGTTGTCCTCTGACCTCCACACACACGCCGTGGCACACGTATGCACACCCTTCCGCTTAGTAAGTAAATAAAGGGTAATTTCGAAAAGAAGCGGCTGGAAGTGGAGCCAGGTGGAGTGACGCATACCTAATGGCAGTACTGGAGAAGCAGCAGCAGGAAGATGGTGGGTTTGAGGCCAGTTTGGGCTACAAAGACCCCACCTCAATAATAACCTCACCCATCTCCCCATTTCCATCTCTCCCCGCCCATGCACATGTGCTCATGTGTGCTACAACAGCAACAGCCAGAAATGCATTCCCTCCTAACTCGGGAAGGTGTAAGTGGGCTATAGATTTGTGTCCCCCCTTCATCTGCACACTGAGGCCTAGCCCACAGTGGAGGGAAGGTGGTTAGATCGTAGGATAGGAGCCTTGTCATCAGGTTCTTAGAACCTACTGAAGAGACACCAGAGAGATGATCTCTCTGTTGGCCTTGTGAAGACACAATGAGAGAGGGGCCCTTCCAAATAGGCGGAGGGCCATCTTCAGGCCCCGAATCAGTGGGCACCTTGGTCTTGGATGCCGCCTTCTCCAGAACCACGAGGAATCAACGCCTGCTGCTTTAACATCTTGTCCGCTGTGCTTCCCGTAGCAGCCTGAGCCGTGGAGAGTGCTTACCTCTTCCTAGGCGGTGGCCAGTGAGCCTCGGGGCCATCCTGGCTTATAGTGAATCACTCCACTCTGCAACTAGTGTCACACAGCGCTCTCCCTGTCTGCGTCCATGTCGCCATGACTTACAGCCCACGCATTCTTAATTTGATTATACTGCAAAGGCCTAGTTTACTCCACGTCGATAAGAGGGGATGAAAGATATTCCCAGAACCCAGCTCCGAGTCTCTGGCGTGGAGGCCATTTTTAAGGAGCATTGTAAAGTGGTCAGCAGGCCACATTTAGATTCTGACTTTTTCTTGCCCCTGATTATTTACATTGGTCTTGCCAACACCTAATTGGACAGCTTAGTTTTTGGTGACTCATTTGCAACTGTGTCTTTCAAAGCAGCCAACTGAATTGTCATCAAAACTGTGTTCCCTTGTTTGTGCGCTTCTGATTTATCCATTAACACAACATTTAATTACATTACCAACAGTAATTACGACGCCAAGCGGGCTGTCAGAAGCACATTAGGGAGTCAGCACAGCTGACTGGCGACCTGCCATCCGCTGGGGCAGTGTGCAGGGCCCAGGGAGGGGGCTGCCATGGGCTCCTCCGGCCCCTTCTGCGGAATCTCTATTGCCGAGGGGCCCAGATGCATTGCTGAGGGGCCTGGGGCCGGGCAGAGGCTCAGCATGTTATCAGGGCACGTGGTAACATCACTTCTTTTTTCATTTTCTGTTTTTCGAGACAGGGTTTCTCTGTGTAGCCCTGGCTGTCCTGGAACTCACTCTGTAGACCAGGCTGGCCTCGAACTCACAGAGATCCTCCTGGCTCTGCCTCTCGAGTGCTGGGATTAAAGGCGTGCGCCACCACTGCCCAGTAGCAATGTCTCTTCTGAGTGCATCCCTCTACATCAGTGGGCCTCAACCTTCCTAATGCTGTGACCCTTTAATACAGTTCCTCATGATGTGGTGACCTCTGACCATAAAATTATTTTCATTGTTACTTCACAACTGTAAT